ACAGTCATGTAACTTTGTCCCTCTGGACAGAGGAGTATTCATTTTGTGAGCATCCAGACAGGTTTTCTTTGCATTATCTTTTTGTATATATAGATTTTTTTACATCATTTTTCATTTTTGTACAATGTATGCGTTTTCATCTTGGTTATCGTCCCCATAAAATTACCCCTCCCCTGTTTTGATTCAATTCCTTTCTCCCCCGCCTGTAGTGTATCTCTGGTTTATAGTTGCTTGTTGATTTTAATTTTTACTTTATTATAATTAGTCTTTTTCCTGATCCCTTATTTAGGTTTTCTAAATTCCTGCTATGAGTGAGGCCATCCGGTATTTTTCTTTTTCTTTCTGGCTTACTTCACTGAGCATGATCCCTTCCAGCTGAGATACCACCTTACACCAGTGAGAATGGCACATATTAGAAAACTAGCAACAACAAATGTTGGCGAGGATGTGGAGAAAAAGGAACTCTCCTGCACTGCTGGTGGGAGTGCAAACTGGTCCAACCACTATGGAGAGCCGTGTGGAGATTCCTCAACCTACTAAACATAGAGCTTCCATAGGATCCAGCAATCCCACTCCTAGGTATTTGCATTATCTTAACAGAGTTCTTGAAACCATGTTAAGAAGCTGTGCTAATGCTTCTAGGAGGTGGTAGAAAACCTCCAAGTCCTTCATAAAGTTTCTACCTTGCAAGGAGAGCTGGTCCTGCTTCAGGAGGTGGGGTAGGGTCAACTCTACCCCATTTGTAACACTCAAAGCAGAACAGAAACCTTCAGAGCAAGTGCCCAGAATTAAGAGAACTGCAGGGAGACACCCAGAACTGTTAGGGTATCAGGTTGTACCTGCCACATTTTATTTGACCCAAACTTCTCTTTAAGGATATCAAATCTTAGGAAACTTCGGATTTATCTTTAAAGAACCATTTCACTGAGGATTGGTGACTTTATTCTTTCAGACTAAGTGGCCTCAAGATTTTCAGTTGAGCCTGCCCATCAGCTTGTATTGTTTCGCAGGCGATGCTTGCAGGCCTCCAGCAGGGAGGCCTTGGAGGAGCAGTCCCTGCCTCTCACTTCACAGTGCAGGTGGTGACAGAGGATTCCTACAAACCCAAGCAGTAGTTGCTCAGCTCTTGGGCCCAGCAGTGGGCAGAAGGCCCAGGTTCGCCCAGGCATCCCCAGTCCAGGGCACCCCCAGACAGATGCAGCAAACAGGAGGTAGCCAGCAACTCCAGCACCTAGTTAAAGGCAAGAATCATGGTTCTCAACCCTGGCTGCTCATTGAAGCCTCCTAGTAAGCTTGTAAAAACACCAGGGCCATAGTTGCACCCCAGAGATCCTGACTCGGGCACAGCAGGAAGACCATTCTACTCTAGTCCTGTCCATTCCAGCTCATTCCAGTCCAATCTATTCCAGTCCAATCCACTCCCATTTTCTTGAGTAACTTAGGTCGCAGGCATTGGAAAAGTAAAGAGAAGTTCTGATCCTGCCTCAAAGAATAATCAGGTTGTAACAACGTGCCATAACAGTGGGCAGTGAAGTGCAACACTCCAGAGGAGGGGGTTGTTTGGGTGGAGGGAGAGCACCAGGGAAAGATAAAGAGTTCTGACAAGTATTTGCCTTGGGCTGTGATTATGGGGGTGGGTGTTGGGGGTGCTTTTCAACAGCACTGGTAATATGATGACAGGATAAGTGTTAGAGCCAAGGAGTCTAGTGACAGACCCGGTGGGCAAGGCCTGCCCTCCTGCTGGCTCCCAAGGATGGGGGGCTGTATCCAGCCCTTTCCTGTGAAGTTGGGTCCCAACGGGGTCAACAGGTAGTCAGCCCAGTGGGCCGTCTGTCCATCTCTCACCAGCTTGCCATTTTCCTCCTCGATGGAGGGAAACCAGCAAATGGGAGTCTCAAAGATACCTGAAAGAAAACCACCCCCAGGGGCTAGGTTCTGCTGCGCGTATGTGTCTGTCCGCACAGGCCTTTTACTCAAGGTGAGATTCTCCGTGTTGCATCACATTAGCACTGAGAAGTTTTTAGTATTTATCAATACAAACACCAGGCTGAGCAAGTAACTGGCCGAGGCCAGAGCATGGCAGGAGGCATCAGCCCATTGTCAGAGTGGGGTGTGATCCTCCAGGGAGGCCGGGGCTCATGCCATGCACTGAACCCTACCTGCTGCTTCATCCCCCACCATGATTCCCCTGATGGTTACTGAGGGGTCTGCCCAGAGGCTTGCTTTCCACAGAGCCCCCCTGGAGCCCTTCATGTCCCCCTCAGGCTCCCTCTGCCGACTCCTCTTCAAGGTATCACAGTGAACAAACTCCAGTTTGAACTTCAAAGGAGAGGGAAGAAAGCCGTGCGTCCCTGCAGGTCACGCGCCACTTTCAGACAGTTTTATTTGGGCAATAAAATCTGAGTTGTTTTTGGCAGAAGTTCTAATGAAATGAGAACCTTGAGATCTGCTCAGAGCAGTAAGTGGGGACTCACCTTGTGATCTGGGGGCCCAGGGCTGTAGGCCATCTTATTGGTTGATCTAATTTTTTTTTTCAAAGAGGTTCAGTATTGAGGTGTTCTCTCAATGTAGGGGGGTCTGAGAGCAGAGGAATTCTCTGCTGCGGTGGGGAGTGGTGCTTCTCAAAGTGTGGTCCCCAGACCAACAGCATCAGTATCGCTTGGGGACTTGTTAGAAAGACACTGACTGTTGTGCCAGCAGGCATGGGGCAGGGTCACTATGGATTTGGGCAGATGGATAAAGGAGAGTCCTGGAGTCCTCGATGGATTTTATAGGTTTTACCGCTCACCCAGGGAACCAGGTAACAGGCACGCTAGGCAGGGAGGCTGGCATACAGGGAGGCCGACCTGGGCTGCGCAGGGGAGTGCTGGGCGGCAGGCAACCAGGCCTCCCGGCCCCCCACGAATCTTTGCTCTTTCTCTGGGCTCTTTCTGGCGTTCTCTCCTAGTCTCAGCTCTGCAGTCACTTGTCCTCCTGTAGCCCTCCTCTATCTCTGAGTGATGCCACCCTTATATACCTGGCCTCTAGGCTGAGGCGTGCACACTTCCATATGCCCACACCATACTCCAGGTGTCTACAACAGGCCCGTGTGCCTGCGCCCACACTCCAAGTGCCTCCAGCATTAGCGCAATCAAGGCCACAGGTAATAATCACAGAGGCCAATGACATCAAAAGCCTGACCTATATCATTTACCCTACAGGCACATTCTCAGGCCCCACCCAAGGCTTCCAGGTGATTTTGATGCAGTTAGAGAATCCTGACTTTTAGAAAGTAGTGTTGGGGGAGAAGAGAAGGCCTGTTTGTGCCAGGCTAGGGTGGATGTGCCTTGTGTGCTGAATTGAATCTCTGCAGGTGAAGGAGGCCCCCAGCACCATCCAGGAGGAGGGGCCGCCCCCTGCAGAGCTCCCTCACCAGCCCTGGCCAGTCCCTTGTTTTGTTGACTTATCAGGCAGCAGGTCTTCGGGGAAGAAGGGCAAAGAGTTTTGTTTTGTTTTTTTAAGATTTATTTATTTATTTATACAAGCACTGGGTACAGTCAGAAGCACGGGAGGGTGAGAGAATTCACCAGAGCCAGAGCGGGAGCAGAACAGGCAGACTGACGAAATACTGAGGGGAGCAGCGGGCGGCAGGAGAGGTCTGCGCGCCATGTGGGACCCTCGCTGGCGGCCGGGGATCGAACCGGCGCTGCAGAGGCTGCGGGCAGCTTCCCAGCCCAGCTCTCAACCATTATGCCATCAGGGGAGGCCCCAAAGGGCAAATTGTTTTAATGCTGTCAGCATTGGTCCCCCATTGAAACAATCTCTGCATCACGTGTATGTATTTTTAAATTAATATCTACCATATGAAAGGGTCAAATTAATCCTACTTCTTAAATTTTTTATTCAATTTACATGTTCTGTCCATAAGCTAGCAAGTTTTTACCCCTTTAAAGGGCACTTTGGCTAATACTTGGCCCCATTTAAATGTGATTAACTGCTTTTCGACCTTTAAAATTGCATTTAGAAATTGAACATAATTTCATTTCCATTTCTTTTGCTTATTATAAATACTTAAGTGATTCTGATAAACCTAACAACAGTCATATAAACATGGGCAATCTTAAGTTCTCTTACACTTTGTGATACTGGTTGTAAAACTAATAAGAATTTAAAACCCCAAGTCTAGATCTATGATGTACTTAGAATCACAAATCAAATCCATTGAATACTCTGCCACGTTTTCTTGGACATCATAAATCCTGAAAAAACAAAACAAAACAAAACATACAAATCCTATAGTAACACTAGTAATACTACGGTTCTGGCTGACCCCACCTCTCTAATCCGAAATATCCCAGGGGTAAGATACTGTTTCCCATAAAGAACAACATTCGTGGGCCTCCCTGGTGGTGCAAGGGGTTGAGTCTTTGCACTATCAAGCTATCGCCATCCACTGCAACATGAGTTCGATCCCCAGCCAGGGAGGTGACCCACGTGGTGCAGCAGACCTCTCCTGTCTCCCCACTGCTCCCCTCAGCAGTGTATTTCAGTAGATCCACCATTCTGTTCCCCGCTGTGTCTCTGGTGAATCTTCTCACACACACCCCCACACACCTCTGGCCTAAACCCCAGTTCTTATATGCATAAATACATAAATCTTTACAAAAAAAACAAAAATCATTCTTTTGCCATTTGGGGGTTGTCTCCTAAAGTGGACTTTTGGGGGTGGTTTTAAATTTTCTTTTTTATTCATAAAGAGTAACACATCTTTGACAGTGAAATTAGTAAGTGGGTGCTATTGCACTTAGCTCTGCACCTCTACCCCCACCACCCCCAACCCCAACTGCTGTTGGGATGTTTCAAGTCACACAAAAGCTTGTTCTTGGGCTCAGAAAATGGAAGCCACCTGCCCAGGAGAAGCAGGGCCACGGGAACCAGGCCATCGTCAGTGGTCTTGCTGCCCCTGGTTGTTGGGGTCATGGGTGTGTGTGACCAATTCCCTTTCTCTTCTTTCCGGGCAGGTTGGCCTCATCCAACTTGGGCAGGAGGAGGTGCTCATCCAGCCCCTCAACAATTCCAGGAGCCCGCTTGGTGGACGAGAGCATCTCATCAGGCGCAGATGGTCCTTGGCGCCCAGCCCCACTGCCACCACAGACGCCCAGACTCCTGGGCAGCCCTGCAAGGTTCTGACAGGTGAGCCTGAGAGATGGCATGACCCACTCCCAGCACCATCTCATGTCCCTGAGCCACACACACTGGTGTGTCCCCCGAATGCATTGACGTCATGCGAACAGGAACTTACCTCTCCCTGTATTTTGAAAGTTGGATTTTATTGTCCCTAAGGCCACTTCCTTTTCCTGTCTGTGTGCAGTAAGTCTGCACTTAACATCATTGATAGGTTCTTGGAAACTGCGACTTTAAGCAAAATGATGCAGAATGAAAGCTGGTCCTCAAAATTCAACGTTGGCTGGGATTTTGTTTTTCTCATTAACGTTATAATGAAATGATGTGATCAGAAACAAGTTGAGGCCTGAAAAATCTCAGTGGCCTATTTATCAAACCCCAAGTTGGTGGCAGAGCTAAGATGAGAATTCCTTCCCTGGCTTCCCGGCCAGAGCTTGCTTTTCTAATACAAAGGCCTCAGTCCAGGCTGCACTTTTGAGAGTTGCCTGTGGCCCTTGGGCCAGCAGTGTCAGCTGGAAACCTGTTAGAACTACATGTTGTTTTCAGCCCTGACCTCCTGAGTCTGAAGTAGTAGCTTCACCTGCCGTGAGGGGGATTCCAGTGCTGGATGTGAGAACCATGTGGTAGGAAACACCATGCACAGTTGCACCCAGTATCCTCATCTGTCTGGTCTGGTGTGACCCGGGTGTCACTGTTCTTAAAGTGGACTCTAATAAGCCGCTTGACGTGAAAACCCATGATTCTTAGGTTCTGTGCTGTAGCGCCAGCAAGGCACAGGGCAGGTTCTCTGTGATCCAGGCAGACAGGTAAAGGAGAGTCCTGGAGCCCTCAGTGGCTTTTTCAGGCTTTTATTGAGCTTTTTACTCCATTTGTAGTACGGCAGGCAGAGGGGCTAGAAGGCCTCCCAGCCCTCGGTGAGTCCTCACTCTTTCTGGGTTCTCTGGCATTTCCCTCACAGTCTCTTCTCGGCTCTCTCTGCTTCTGCTGCCGATGCTGTTTCCTCTAGCGTCCGCATGATGCTGCCCTTATAAGCCCAGTCTCTCAGCCCAGGTGCGCCCTCTTACATGTGCCCACACCCTACTCCGGGTGTCCGCCATCAGGCATGTGTGCAGGCCCACAGGTGTCCATCATCAATACTAATGGCGGGAGGGCGGAAAATCCTGATAAAGTTTCATTTCCCCTACATGTGCCTCTTACCCAAGCAACTTGTGCATGATCTGTCAGGTGGTGATGGTTGTGTACCTGCCTTTGAGTGCCCCTCCATGGAGGTGGATAATCTGTGAGCACCCAGGGGACCTTTCTTCTGGGGAGAGCCTGGGGCCCCAACTCTGACCTTTGGGAGTTGTGCTTTTGTAGTTTAAAGACTTGTCTTTGTATAAAAATATAGTGTGTCTTGGTTTCATTTTTACAGACCTTGGAAATAAACTATGTGACTCCTCCTGAATAGCTTTGTTGTTTATCTTCGAGCCCTGCAGCGCAGCTCAGGGGTTACATGCACAACTATCCAGGTGGCCCCCTTCTTTAGCCTGGTCCGCAGAGAGGTATTGGAGGGGACTTGCCTGGGTTAAGGCTGTCTCTGAAATACCAGGAGAGCTCCGAGTGCTACGTGGAGAGAATGCCACCAGGCAGTAGAGTTTTGCTCTGTTTCTTCCTGCATAAGCAGGGAAGATAAACCTCGGTCCAAAATTGCTGCTAACTGAATAGTCTTGAATAGGAAGCTGGAGTTTAGGTAGGTCTGAGGTTGGTTGTGTGTTGGGGCTTGATGTCGGCTATTCTGGTCCTATGTAGGTCATTCTTACTGGACCATTTTTTCTTTATCTGCTTTCAAAGAACAATTAACCCTTGAACAATATAAGAGTTAGGAGTACCTTATCTGCCTCTCTATTGAAAATTCATGTATGACTTTAGTAGCCCCCCCAAATTTTACTAATACTAGCCTGCTGTTAACTGGAAACCTTATGGTAACAGCAATAGTCAATGAACATGTATTTTGTATGTTATATGTGTTATCTACTGTCTTCTTCCAATGAAGTCAGCTAGAAAAGACAAAATACTATGAAGGACATCACAAAGAAGAGAAAATGTATTTACAACACTGGACTGTCCTGATTGATACCCTTCTTTATGTTTGCATCATCGTGATACAAGGGTGTTAGTGCATCCACACACTCTAAATATATGTGTTCGGTCACTCTAAATATATGTGTTTTTTGCAGCTGATTCACATATATTGGTTCAGAGGCAGGCGGATTACTCTTAGGCAGTGGTTCTCAAGATAGGCTCTCCATGGTAGTCCCTCTAGAGAGCTGACTTAACTGGTCTTGGGCACAACCTGGGTTTCTGACAATTGAACACCACCCCGCCCCCACTACCGCCCCGAGATGGTACTCATGTTTAGGGATTTGAAACATGAGTAATAGCCCCACAAGCCATCAGAAATGGGTTTTCTCAGGTGAGAACCACCAAACCGGGCCACACAATGAAATCCATGGGCACATATGTTTTATTCTCACCTGTCCCTTTGCCCTGTCCAGCACTCATCTACTGCTAGGCAATGACCAGAAACCCAGCAGACCTGTGCTTGGCACTGCTGAATGTTTGTCTAATTACCAGCTGCCATCCTTTCAGGCCGTGATATCAAGAACTGCTAACAAAATGATAAATCATGCTTGTCTTTGCATTTTTGTCCCTGAGGCCAGTTTTGAGGTTTCAATAGACTGTTCAGCCTTTAATGATGGAAATAAAATGAACAAAGCCAGGGTGGGGAGAATGTCATGGAAACCACGCTAAAAGAAGAGCAGCTATACCTGGTTGCTGAGAAAAATTTCTGAATTTGTTTAAAAAATAGTCTCCCCTTCCCTGCCTCCAAATCTCACATCTCTGCTTTGTGGGAGCAGGGGTATATTCAAGGTGGTGCTGGCTTAGACCATGCTCTGGGTTGGCATAGGAAGAGTGTGTTTCCCTACTGGTTGTTCTTGCCTCCTGTGAAATACTTAGTAAACTTGGATGTTGTGTTGAGAATGACAAGAGCTCTTCTAATAGACTGGGTAATGACATAGTTAAGCACTATCTAGTTGGAATTAACTTTCAAACATTGGTAGCTTGGGAACTGGGGAAGTTAACTTACTGGGCTACCAGCAAAATGCATTCTTTAAGTTTCTTAGAAAGATTAACCAGATTTATCCTGGATTTCCCATGGGAACATATTCTTTATGGTGTCATTATGCAGTCTTGTTGATCTTATGTTTCTCTGACCTTGGACATGGGCTGGGAATAGCCAGCTGGTTCATGCAGGTATTCATGAAACATTCAGTTTACCTGAAAACTGAGTCCAGGTAAGCTGCCATGTTCTCCAGTGTTCTTTACCTGGGCAGGGTTAGTGGGTAAAGAGTTTGACACAGTTAATACCACCCGGGAAGAGCCACTGCCTTCTCTTGGATTCTACTGAGGTTACATTTCTAGCCTTTCTAGTCTCCAAAGCTCCTGAAGAAAGGACAGGCTGATCCTATTTTCTTTATAACTCTTTACTTTTAGGACCTTATAAATTGATTCATAAAATATCCCTCCAGGTTGGAACTTGGCATGAAAACATGGAGACTGTGAGCCCCTTTTTTTAGTGAGAACATGAATTTTTGAAGGTTTTTTGGCTATACTCAATAACTGAAATGTTGCTTTGGATATTTTTAAATTTTCCTCAATTTTGAAGTGGCTATTTTGACTTCAGAACGTTTTGTCTATCTTTGGTAATTGTCTCTGTTCAGCTTCAATTTAGAATCTTCCATTAGCATTTTCATGGTCTTTAATAAAACTTTGAATCTCTGTCTCGCCTTCACCGGGGTAGTGGTAACACTCAGATGGGAGCGGGAGATGGCAAAATATTAAACGAATTTGCTGGAAGACTGTTGAGTGGGAATCTTATGGTCCATTAAGTGGTGATGGGCTCAACAGAACATACATGTGCCTGCCAGCAGTGGTGCCTGCAAAGACATCTATTGATATGTCTACTTAAAGTTCGTAAATTGTTACGATGCAAAGTCACACATATTATTTTTGTCTGCTTGAGTTATTTGTCTTAATAAGAGGTATATTAAAAATCTTTTTGTTGTTTGTCCGGTTTCATCTGTCTCTTTCATCTTCTGTCTCAAAAGCCTGTCATCTTCTTGAGCTCGGGCTCCCCATCTCCGGTAGGGGGTGGGGGTGCTACCCCCTAATTTGTTGCTTCTGAACTAAACCCTTGTCTAATGATACCTCCCATCTGATACCAGTGCTTGGATCCAATTTTTCTCCCATGGAGCCATTCAGACTCAAGTAACTATAGCTCACCCAGAATAATGTGGGGATTAGGCACACCAATCCCTGCACAGTGAAAAATCCAAGTATAGACTCCCCAAAAACTTAACTCTGAAGTTTCTTTGGCCTGCTGTTGATGGAAAGCCTTACTCCTAACACAGTTAATCAACACATAGCTTACATGCAGTATCCTCTCTCCTTACAGTAACATAAGTTAGAGAAAAGAAAATGTTAGGGAGGAAATCCTAAGCTAAGTGCATTTACATTCCTGGGCTATGTTCATCGATGATGTAAGTTGTATGTCTTCTAAGATCCATGTATGAGTGAACCCACACAGTCAAACCCAGGCTGTCCAGGCGGTGCCCGTGTTTGCTCTCTTATCCTTTCCCGCTTTACGTTAGTCCCTCATCCTTTCTGTTAGCTTCTTGTTTGCTAGCCCCATTCTCCAGATTCACCAACTGATAGCATTTTCCCCTAGTTGCTTCCTCTCTTCTGGCCCACTCCCCACCCCCACATTGCTCTCCCCTGCAGTCTGCTCCCCTTCCACACACTCACACACTTTTTTCCAAACTACTCAAAAGGACTTTGCAGTCATCATGCCCCTTTATCAGAAATACTTAAATTCTTATTTAAAATTCTTATCAACCATCACATATTTATCAAACTGCAGATAGGAAACATTGACACAATATGAATCACACTATTCATATTTAAATTTT